TGCAGGCACTGTACTTCCCATCTCCAGGACTCAAGTCCGGCCTGCCGGTTTCCCTGAACCCCTTCATAAATGTTACTTTGCTCACACTCCAACAGCACGTCAAGTATTAAAAACCATTTGTCTCCATTCACTCCTATCAAACACGCTCACGCATGCCTGCTGGAAGTCCAAGCCCCTCGCACACAAAACCTACTTTACCCCCCTCTCCAACCTTTCCTAGGCCGACCCCTACCCCACCTTCCTTCCACTACAGACTGATACACTCTTGAAGTCATTCTGTTTCGCTCCATTCTCTCTACATGTCCGAACCACCTCAACAACCCTTCCTCAGCCCTCTGGACAACAGTTTTGGTAATCCCGCACCTCCTCCTAACTTCCAAACTACGAATTCTCTGCATTATATTCACACCACACATTGCCCTCAGACATGACATCTCCACTGCCTCCAGCCTTCTCCTCGCTGCAACATTCATCACCCATGCTTCACACCCATATAAGAGCGTTGGTAAAACTATACTCTCATACATTCCCCTCTTTGCCTCCAAGGACAAAGTTCTTTGTCTCCACAGACTCCTAAGTGCACCACTCACTCTTTTCCCCTCATCAATTCTATGATTCACCTCATCTTTCATAGACCCATCCGCTGACACGTCCACTCCCAAATATCTGAATACATTCACCTCCTCCATACTCTCTCCCTCCAATCTGATATTCAATCTTTCATCACCTAATCTTTTTGTTATCCTCATAACCTTACTCTTTCCTGTATTCACCTTTAATTTTCTTCTTTTGCACACCCTACCATATTCATCCACCAATCTCTGCAACTTCTCTTCAGAATCTCCCAAGAGCACAGTGTCATCAGCAAAGAGCAGCTGTGACAACTCCCACTTTGTGTGTGATTCTTTATCTTTTAACTCCACGCCTCTTGCCAAGACCCTCTCATTTACTTCTCTTACAACCCCATCTATAAATATATTAAACAACCACGGTGACATCACACATCCTTGTCTAAGGCCTACTTTTACTGGGAAATAATTTCCCTCTTTCCTACATACTCTAACTTGAGCCTCACTATCCTCGTAAAAACTCTTCACTGCTTTCAGTAACCTACCTCCTACACCATACACTTGCAACATCTGCCACATTGCATCCCTATCCACCCTGTCATACGCCTTTTCCAAATCCATAAATGCCACAAAGACCTCTTTAGCCTTATCTAAATACTGTTCACTTATATGTTTCACTGTAAACACCTGGTCCACACACCCCCTACCATTCCTAAAGCCTCCTTGTTCATCTGCTATCCTATTCTCTGTCTTACTCTTAATTCTTTCAATAATAACTCTACCATACACTTTACCAGGTATACTCGGCAGACTTATCCCCCTATAATTTTTGCACTCTCTTTTATCCCCTTTGCCTTTATACAAAGGAACTATGCATGCTCTCTGCCAATTCCTAGGTACCTTACCCTCTCCATACATTTATTAAATAATTGCACCAACCACTCCAAAACTATATCTCCACCTGCTTTTAACATTTCTATCTTTATCCCATCAATCCCGGCTGCCTTACCCCCTTTCATTTTACCTACTGCCTCACGAACTTCCCCCCACACTCACAACTGGCTCTTCCTCACTCTACAAGATGTTATTCTTCCTTGTCCTATACACGAAATCACAGCTTCCCTATCTTCATCAACATTTAACAATTCCTCAAAATATTCCCTCCATCTTCCCAATACCTCTAACTCTCCATTTAATAACTCTCCTCTCCTATTTTTAACTGACAAATCCATTTGTTCTCTAGGCTTTCTTAACTGTTAATCTCACTCCAAAACTTTTTCTTATTTTCAACAAAATTTGTTGATAACATCTCACCCACTCTCTCATTTGCTCTCTTTTTACATTGCTTCACCACTCTTTAACCTCTCTCTTTTTCTCCATATACTATTCCCTCCTTGCATCACTTCTACTTTGTAAAAACTTCTCATATGCTAACTTTTTCTCCCTTACTACTCTCTTTACATCATCATTCCACCAATCGCTCCTCTTCCCTCCCGCACCCACTTTCCTGTAACCACAAACTTCTGCTGAACACTCTAACACTACATTTTTAAACCTACCCCATACCTCTTCGACCCCATTGCCTATGCTCTCATTAGCCCATCTATCCTCCAATAGCTGTTTATATCTTACCCTAACTGCCTCCTCTTTTAGTTTATAAACCTTCACCTCTCTCTTCCCTGATGCTTCTATTCTCCTTGTATCCCATCTACCTTTTACTCTCAGTGTAGCTACAACTAGAAAGTGATCTGATATATCTGTGCCCCTCTATAAACATGTACATCCTGAAGTCTACTCAACAGTCTTTTATCTACCAATACATAATCCAACAAACTACTGTCATTTCGCCCTACATCATATCTTGTATACTTATTTATCCTCTTTTTCTTAAAATATGTATTACCTATAACTAAACCCCTTTCTATACAAAGTTCAATCAAAGGGCTCCCATTATCATTTACACATGGCACCCCAAACTTACCTACCACACCCTCTCTAAAAGTTTCTCCTACTTTAGCATTCAGGTCCCCTACCACAATTACTCTCTCACTTAGTTCAAAGGTTCCTATACATTCACTTAACATCTCCCAAAATCTCTCTCTCTCTCCTCTACATTCCTCTCTTCTCCAGGTGCATACACGCTTATTATGACCCACTTTTCACATCCAACCTTTACTTTAATCCACATAATTCTTGAATTTACACATTCATATTCTCTTTTCTCCTTCCATAACTGATCATTTAACATTACTGCTACCCCTTCCTTTGCTCTAACTCTCTCAGATACTCCAGATTTAATCCCATTTATTTCCCCCCACTGAAACTCCCCTACCCCCTTCAGCTTTGTTTCGCTTAGGGCCAGGACATCCACTTCTTTTCATTCATAACATCAGCAATCATCTGTTTCTTGTCATCCGCACTACATCCACGCACATTTAAGCATCCCAGTTTTATAAAGTTTTTCTTCTCTTTTTTAGTAAATGTCTACAGGAGAAGGGGTTACTAGCCCATTGCTCCCGGCATTTTAGTCGCCTCATACGACACGCATGGCTTACGGAGGAAAGATTCTTTTCCACTTCCCCATGGACAATAGAAGAAATAAAGAAGAACAAGAGCTATTTAGAAAAAGGAGAAAAACCTAGATGTATGTATATATATATATGCATGTGCGTGTCTGTGAAGTGTGACCAAAGTGTAAGTAGGAGTAGCAAGATATCCCTGTTATCTAGCGTGTTTATAAATAAACTGTTGTATCTGGGCACCTTTGCAAAGACAGTGATTATTAACCCTTAAACTGTTCAAAAGTAGATCTATGTTCACTCGCATGGCGCTCCAAATATTTTGAAAAATAATTTTTTTTTTTTTTTTTTTAAATGAAGAGCACATTTTTCTACATGTTATAGGATTAAAAAAAATTTTTTAGGGACAGTACTTACTGTGATATAAGACTGTGAAGTTGGCTCTGGATGCTCAACTGTCTTCAACATCGACTTCTGCCACTTGCAGAAGTGTTGCCGATTTATCTATTTTTCTTGTTTTTATTTTAATTTATGTATTTTTTATGTTCTGATAATTACAATTTATAATAGTTCTTGTAATTTCATAGCCAGTCTTTATTCTGACACTAATATTAGGTACTGAAATAGTGCTCAAATAGTCACAATCACAGTGACAGGTGAACATTTACACCTGCCTGGGTTATTTATTATTGCCTAGAAATATATACGAAGTATTTATAGGTCCCAGCAATGTTTTAGATACCCTGGCGTATACCTTGAAATATGGTGTTATGAAAGGCATCCCTATACTGTTGACAGCCCAGTGACATTTGATAAATGCCCACTGCTCCTGCTAACCTTTGCTGTATTTGTTATCACTGTTACACACAACCATGTCTTGTCTCTGTCTATTTATCTGTATGTCTGTCTGTCTGCCTGTCTGTCTCTGCTTATCTGTCTCTGTCCTGGAGTATATGTATATCACACTTCCTGAAGAATCGTGTTATGACATCTGTTATCAGCTCAGTGACATTTGATAAATGGGTGCTCGGGGGAACCCTGGCTTTATTCATTTTCACTGATACAAACATGTTTGTCTGTCTATCTATTTATCTGTCTGTCTATCTTTGCCTGGAATTTTTGGATTATCCTAGTTAATTTACACTGTATAATAACTACTTATGTGTACATGTGAGACAGAGATATGGATAAAGATATAGATAGAAATATAGACAGAGACAGCCTAAACAAGCCAACCGGCCAGCCTGCTGAATACAAAAGAACATAAGAAAGAAGGAACACTGCAGCAGGCCTACTGGCCCATGCAAAGCAGGTACATGTCCCCCTCCCAGCTTAGATCAATGACCCACCTAGTCAGGTCACATCCGTTGAAGGAAGGAGCATGACATCAGACCTAGTAGCACAAGATAGTCAGGTCCAACTCACACCCACTCTCACACTCATGTATTTATCTAACCTGTTTTTGCTTTCCTCTTAAAATGGGAGTGTTAATGCGACATGGCATCAGTGACTCCCTTGTGTTTGCCATGCTATTTGCTCTAGCTGGCGCTCAATTGAACTGGTGCTCCCACAAGGTAGTAAGTGCTTGCAGATTTTTTACTAGTGCATGCACTGAGTGCACAGACCCATTTTTTCATGTCCAGGCGACTTGAGCCTATTATGCCAAATTTGAAGGAATGAAAAATAAAATGTTGATCTACACTTGGAGCGCTATGCGTGCAAACGTAGATCTACGTTTGGACAGTTTAAGGGCTAAATGTGAATGGTGATGAAAGTATTTTTCTTTTTTTTTGGTCACCCTGCCTTGGTGGGAGATGGCCGACATATTAATAAAAGTAATACTAATAAGAAAACTAACGTGCTTTAAATATTTTTATTACAGCAGTTTTTAATGGCAATTTTTCTTCCTCAGTACCTGTCAAGTTATCACCATCCAGATCAGTAGATAGTGGATTAAATGAATATTCATCACCCTTAAAATCTAGGTAAGATATGTAGTAAGAAGGCAAGTGACTTAGATAACTTGAGGGAAATGGATGTGTATGCTTTCACTTTGTCCTCTAATTACATTAGCATCCATTTCCCTCTAGGCAGATAGTTACATGAATGTTTTACTCTTATTTACATCATGTAATGTTGAAGTTCAAGAAACAAGTGATGCAGTTTATAAGGAGAGTCAGTCTCTCACTAGCTCTTGCAAAGAACCTTGGTTCTGTATTTTGAAACTGGTTGGTTATAAAATTTGCTCTACATTATTTTGTATTAACATAATATTTCTTGTTGCATTAAATTCTTAAGTTCATATTTGTTTTTGAAAACAGAGAGATTTCCAAATATAAGTTAGTTATGTTACACAGTGCTTTGTTGGTAAAAATTATATTTCTTCTTTCAACAAATTGGCCATATCCCACCGAGGCAGGGTGGCCCAAGAGGAAAAACAAAAATTTCTCCTTTTAAATTTTGTAATATATACAGGAGCACAACAGCCAGGAGGATGACAGGGTGGGTATTGAGAACTTTCAAAACAAGGGAAACAATGCCGATGGTGACACTCTTCAAATTGCTAGTGCTCCCTCACTTAGAATATTGCTCAAGTGCTGACAGCCCCATTCAGGGCAGGAGAAATATCAGAGCTGGAGCAAATACAAAGATCGTTTACGGCTCACATTGAGCCAGTAAAGCACCTAAACTACTGGGAATGCCTGCAAGTCTTGAACATGTACTTATTGGAGCAGAGGAGAAAGAGGTACATGATAATATATACCTGGAAGGTACTCAAGGGCTTGGTCCCCAAATCTGCACACTGCCATAACAACATACTGGAGTGAGAGATATGGGAGAAAGTGTAAAATAAACCCAGTGAGGAGCAGGGGTGCGGTGGGGACAATAAGGGAACGCTGTATCAACATTCGGGGTCCCAGACTTTTCAACATCTTACCAGAAGATATCAGAAACACTGCTGGAACAAGTGTTGAAGCCTTCACGAAGAAACTAGACAAGTATCTTCACCAGGTGCCAGATCAACCAGGCTGTGATGGATATGTGGGGCAGCAGGCCTCCAGCAGCAACAGCCTGGTTGACCAGGCGAGCCTGGCCCATGGCCGGGCTCAGAGAGTAGATATACTCTCGAAATTCTTCAAAGGTATATCAAAGGTAAAGGTTGTAGAGGTGCTCAGATACAACAGTTTAGGCATTCCATCAAACTGCCAGTATCCCAAGCCTCTCCTTTAAAATGCAGGCATTGTACTTCCCATTTCCAGGACTCGAGTCCGGCTAACCGGTTTCCCTGAATCCCTTCACACTCCAACAGGTCCCAAAAACCATTTGTCTCCATTCACTCCTATCTAACAAGCTTGTTGCAAGTCCAAGCCCCTCGCCCACAAAACCTCCTTTACCCCCTCCCTCCAACCTTTTCGAGGACAACCCCTATCTTGCCTTCCTTCCCCTACAGAGTTATACGCTCTCCAAGTCATTCTACTTAGTTTTGTTCTCTCTAAATGACCAAACCACCTCAACAACCCCTCTTCAGTCCTCTGACTAATACTTAAAGTAACTCCACACCTCCTAATTTCACACCCATATAAGTGTGTTGGTACCACTATACTTTCATACATTCCCTTCTTTGCCTCCATAGGTAACATTTTTGTCTCCACAGATACTTCAACACACCACTTGCCCTTTTTTCTTCGTCACTTCTGTGGTTAACCTCATCCTTCATAAATCCATCTGAAAACATTCACTTCTTCCATACTCCCTCCCTCCAATGCAATATCCAATTTTTATCTATGTTCACTTTTAATTTTCTGCTTTTGCATATATGTAGTGTATATTGAATGTAAGAATTGTAGTAGTTGCAAGATTTCCTGTCATCTTGCATGTTAGAGACAAAAGATATGCAATCCTTCCAGAGCGTAAAACGTTTAATAAGTTTGTTACACACGTCAGGATGGTGGTTGCTGTATACTAATCTTTTACTTGTACTGTACTGTATATTGAAATGCCATCTTGAATAGACAATATTCCATGGGGAAGTAGAAAAGAATTCTTCCTAAGTCATGCATGTCATAAGAGGCGACTAAAATGCTGGCAGCAAGGGGCTAGTAACCCCTTCTTTATAAATTACTAAATTTTAAAAGAAAAATTTTTGTTTTTCTTTTTTAGGTCACCCTGCCTCAGTGGAATGTGACCACCACTATAATTTTTTATTATAGTGTTAGCTTACATTTTCATTATTTTGTATGATTTTATTAATACTGTAGCAGATACAACATCTGTTTATAATTATGGCACTGTAGGGGACAAAATTTTTTTGAATTAGGCCATTACTGTAAATGTAAAAAAAAAAAAAAAAACTACTGATCTCAGCAGCATTAATTATGAGGAAATGGTATGGTGATACCGACAAGATGTGGAAAAAGACACTTATGTACCTGAGCTGTACATAAGTGTCTTTTTCCACAGCATTAGTTATTTAGTTATACCTGGAAATAGTTTTTGTATAATTCAGAATATAATTTTGGGAACTAAAAAAAAAAATTTATGAAAATCATGTTCCAAAGTTTATGGTGTGATGCTGAGATGTAAACAGTAGATAATTGTATATAGTTTTCAAGTGCTGATTTGACCTAGACCACTACTTAGTCTCAAGGCTAATTTTGAATACTTTCTTGCCATTACATTTTACACTGCATATTTTAAAATTGTTTTCTTGTGTTCCCCTCTACAAAATTGTTTTGCTCAACTTAAAAGAAAAAATTTGGTGTCACACAGGCATTTAGCGTCTAATAACGATGAATGGGGTTGGACGCCAGAACGCACTCCTCGATCTTCAAGAAAAGTTTTTGGCAGTATTGAAAAGCGCTTAGATAAAATGAGAAACATGCTTACACCTCGTAGAAAGCTGAATACAGATTCCGGTCCATGCATTGTAGAGAACAAAGTGAGTGAGACAAATTTTAGTTGTATAATTTTGAAATTACTTCCATGCCAAATTATTCTGTGATAGCACACCCCAATGCAAAAAATTTCTTTGTAGAATTTATGCACAGTATTTTTCTTTTCAATCATTGTCTTCAAATTTACAATTTACCAGTAATCACAATAAAACTGTATAAATAACATGATTATCAGGTGTAATATGTTTTGTTACAGAATTTGTATAATGTGAGTACAACAGGAAGTAGGAACCCTGATAAGGTTCTTCATGATCTCCGGCAGGCACTCCTTAATAAGGGCATCCTTTGTAATCAGAAGGGGTAAGTAACAGTGGATAGTGTGTTGACTGATGGGAAATGTTTATGGGTAGTGGTAGTGAATTTTTAATTGTGGGGTGTACTTATTTTCTGCATTTACCTATTTAAGCTGAGGGAGAGGGAGGGCTTTAGCTCTTGATTTCCACTTCTTGATGTCATACCAACTCACAAGTTTTTACACATCAGCTATATCCCACCAATGTAGTGACCCAAAAAATACAAAACACATTTACTATCATTCATTTAACCAGTCTTGCCAGGGGTGTGCTGACATCACAGTTCTGATGGCCTTGCAATCTGTAACATCCTCAATTCTCTCTAATGCAGGCACTGTACTACCCACCCTTGAGGACTTGTATCTAATTATTTTTTTTTAATCCCTTCATAAATGTTATCTTGCTCACACTCCAGCTGTAAGTCAAACCATAGAAACCACTTGTCTCACCTCACCACCTCTCCAGTCTAACATGAGGTTGTTGGGTGCTAAACCTCTAGCATTGAAGCTCGCTTTTCCTCCATCCCTTCCTAGGACACCCTCCACCACTTCTTCCTTCCACTTCAGATTTATGTGCCCTCTCAGTTATCATATTCTCCACTCTAAATGCCCAGATCAAGTCAACAACTCTTCCTTAGCCCTCTGAAGTCTCTGCAAAATATCAGCACCACACATGGCTCTCAAATGTGATATCTCCATTGTCTCCAGCCTCCTTGCTGCGAAATTTAAAGCCCTACCTCACATCCATATGTTGACGTCACATACCTGTCCAAGTCCTTTCACTGGACCTGCCCTCCTATGTACCCTAACCTGAGCCTCACAATGCACAAAAGCTTCAACTGTTTTTTATTAATCTACTTACTATTCCTAAATCCTCCCTGCTTCTCTTCAGTCCTGTTCCGTCTTACCCTTAATCTTAACCCCTTCAGGGTCCAAGGCCCAAATCTGAAGTGGTGCCCCAGTGTCCAAGAATTTTCAAAAAAAAAAATTTGTTATTTTTTCTTATGAAATGGTAGAGAATCTTTTTGTGGGGGTAATAAAACAAAAAGTACGAAATTTGATGGAAAATTGACGAAATTATGCTCTCGCGAATTTTGATGTGTCAGAGATATTTACGAATCGGCGATTTTGCCGACTTTGACTCCCATTTTAGGCCAATTACATTATTCCAGTCAACCAAATTCTTAGCTATTTCACTAGTATTACTTCTATTCTATCGATTGAGCACAAGAAATCGCCAAGTCAACTGTTTCAACTACAAATTAAAGTGATCTGAAATTGTTAATTTGGTCAATTTAACACAAAGTTCAAAATATTCCAATTTCAAAATAGGGTCCAGAATAAACAATGTAGGTATTCCTGGAACTAAACTAACATTTCCTCTGTTCATTAGTTACGTTTGAGGCTTTACAAATAAATTCCATTTTGATTTTTTATTCACATAATGAATTTTTATTCACACCAAAAAATAGAAGAGTTACTGTTATGCAATACTGTAATAATTGTATAAATATCATCACCATATTTGTGAATGCATATTAGACCCACCAGCTGGCGTGTATTAGACGTGTGAGGTCGTTTGTTTACTCTTGAATATCGGCAAAAATTTAACATTTCTGCTACTTTGAGCTCAGTTTCAAGCCATTTCCAGTGCTAAAACCAATCAAAATCATTTCTATTTCTGTAATATGTCTTCCATTCTATCAAATGAGACCAAGAAATCGCAAATAGAACTATAAAAAACATACGAAAAAACTGCAAAGTCGCTGTTATAATCGAAAAATCATGATTTCAGTTTTTTTCTCTCGTTATACACAGCGTGCTGCAGGATCTGTTTTATGTGGTGCACACATACCACATAGATGTATTCTGTCATATCTAGGCCCAAATGTACCACTCACAGTTTATCAGAGTGAGCTGAGCTCATGACTTAGATCTATGGTTTGGACCCTGAACGTAAAGCCGTAGATCTACGGGACGGACCCTCAAAGGGTTAAACGGCAGTTTTTTTGACGTACTAGTACGCATAAATTCTAGCGCCCTCAAATCTAGCAAGAGAAAGCTGGTAGGCCTACATATGAAAGAAAGGGTCTATGTGGTCAGTGTGCGCAGTATAAAAAAAATCTTGCAGCACACAGTGCGTAATGAGAAAAAAAAAACTGACCATGTTTTTGGTTTAAAACAGCGACTTCGCACTGTATTTTCGTATGGTATTTATGGTTGCATTCTAGTTTTCCTGGTCTTATTTTATAGAATGGAAGACATATTACAGAAATTGAGATAATTTTGATTGGTTTCACAATGAAAAGTACCTTGAAATTGAGCTCAAAGTAGCAGAAATGTTCGATTTTTGCCAAAGTTCAAAAGCAAACAAATCATGCCACGCATCCAATACACGCCAACTGGTGAATCTAATATTCTTTCTACACTAATACAGTAGTCTGCATAACAGTAAATCTTCTATTTTTTGTGAGAATAAAAATTCAAAGTTGAAAGCAAAAGAAATGTAAGAGGGGTGTGGGGATGTGACTATAGAACAGAGGAAATCTTATTTTAGTGCCAGGAATGTCTTTCTTGTTTATTCTGGACTCTATTTGGAAATTGGCATCTTTTGAAATTTGTGTGAAATTGGTAAAATTGCTAAATTCTGACCACTTTATTGGATAGTTGAAATTGGTAAATGGGTGGTTTCTTGTACTCATTCGATGGAAAAACGGAGTTCTAGCGAAATAGTTATGATTTTTGTCGACTAGTACACTGGAATTGGCTGAAAATAGGGCTCAAAGTGAGCAAAATTGCCGATGCGTAAACATCATTGAGACTGCTAACTTCGCAAGAGCATAATTCCGTAAGTTTTCCATCAAATTTCATACTTTTGGTGTCATTATGATTGGGAAAAGATTCTCTATCTTTTCATTAGTTTTTTTTTTTTTTTTTTTTTTTTTAATTTTAGCGACCCTGAGAACAAGTCTCTGAGAGGGCCTGGCGACCCTCAAAGGGTTAACTTGTATACTCAATAGGCTTTTCCCCCCTTTAATTCTTACATTATCTCTTGTCCCCGTATATAGAGGAACTGCATGCTCTCTGCCAATGTTTTGGTACCTTCCCCTTTCTTCATACTTGTATTAAACACACCAACCACTCCAACATTATATCCCCATGAGCTTTCAACATCCCTTTCTTAATCCCATCAATCCCAGCTGCTTTACACCCTTTCATTCTACCCACTGCATTTTCTTCACATCTACCTCAGGCTGCTCCTCACTCCTAGATGTTCTCTCTCCTTGCCATATGCATGAAACTTCTCTTCATCACCAGTATTCAAGAACTCTCCAAAATATTCTCTTTCCATTGCTTCCACCTCCCCATCAAACATCTCCCCTCTTTCGTTTTTCACTAAGTACATCTGCTCTCCAGCTTCTTTACCTTATTAATCTCTTTCCAAAATGGCTTATTCTTTGCAGGTAGTCTCTCCCATTCTCTCCTTGACTCTCCTTTTGCACCTCACCACTCTTAACCTCCCTCTACCTTTCCATATATTCTGCCTTTTGTCTATCATTTTTACTTTGCAAAAGCCTCTTACATACTATTTTTTCTCCTTATAGCCCTTTATAAATACTGGTATATAATTTTTTTTATTAACACATTGGCCGTTTCCCACCAAGGCAGGGTGGCCCGAAAAAGAAAAACTTTCATCATCATCATTCACTGTATCACTGTCTTGAAAGAGGCATGCTTACACTACAGTTATAAAATTGTAACATTAACACCCCTCCTTCAGAGTGTTGGCACTGTACTTCCCATCTCCAGGGATCAAGTCTGGCCTGCCGGTTTCCCTAAATCCTTTCATAAATGTTACCTTGCTTACACCCCCAACAGTACATCAAGTCCTGAAAACCATTTGTCTCCATTTGCTCCTCTCTAACACGCTCAAACATGCTTGCTGGAAGTCTAAGTCCCTCACACACAAAACCTCCTTTACCCCCTCCCTCCAACTTTTCCTAGGCCGACCCCTACCCCGCCTTCCCTCCACTACAGATTTACACACTCTGAAAGTCATTCTATTTTGTTCCATCATCTCTAAATGTTCAAACCATCTCAACAACCCCTCCTCATCCCTCTGGATAATAATTTTGGTAATCTCACACTTCCTCCTAATCTCCTAACTACGGATTCTCTGCATTTTGTTGACACCACACATTGCCCTCAGACATGACATCTCCACTGCTTCCAGCCTTCTTGTTGCAACATCACAACCCATGCCTCACACCCATACATACTCTCATACATTCCCCTCTTTGCTTTTGTGGATCAAGTTTTGCCTCCACAGACTCTTCAGTGCATCACTCGCCTTATTTCCCTCGTCAATTCTGTGATTCACCTCATCCTTCATAGACCCATCTGTTGACATCTGGTATATAAATATAAGAAATATATAACCCCTGAATAGATTCTGCTTCCACTTGCGATTGTTCACCTCATGACATATCTCTACTACTCTTGCATTAAAAGTTTTCTAACATACCTGTGGCTCATTTTGGTATATAATTTTAAACTAAGGCCACTTGTTCTTGTTAGTCTTTGTAATGAGCCTATCCTTAAGTGAGTTTATTCAGGTATACACAATACAGTTACATAGATTATCATATATAGCACCATATGTGTAGATAACCTAGGATAACCCGTACCCTTTTTATGCCAGTTAGCATATTACAAAGTGATTGTATCTCCATTTTTCATGTTACAATGGAAGGCTTAGTTCTCATTCACTTTTCAAACACAACAAGGGTATTGAGTAACTCAACTTACTCAATGAAAAGTTCATTTGTTAACCTGCTTACTGTCTTGTGAGGATGACCAAAATTCCAGAGTATATTTCTTTGTCTTTAATAATAATACAGTGGACCCCCAAGTTTCGTGATTAATCCGTTCCAGAGAGTTTGCCGACTGGCGAAATTCACGATTGGCGAATCTATTTTCCCCATAAGAAATAATGGAAACCCAGTTA